CGGGGCCGGGACGGAGACCCAGATGGAGACCCAGTGTCCTCCCGGCCCAAAGCCGGTGCCAGACGCGAGGGCGACCTGGCCCGGGCTGCCCCATCCACTCACCTTCAGCCTGCTCCCTGGGACCCGGGAGAAAGGGGGACAGTTAGACATCTAGGGGCTCAGGGGCTCCCCCCTCCCCCTTGGGACACGGCTCACCCCTCATATTCCTGCTCCTCGGTGTCCGACATCCTGCTGGGTCCTGACGGTGACAGAGAAGCGGCTGAGGGCTGGGCCCCCGGGTCCGAGGGAGGAGGCCGGGGTCCCACAGTCCTGGGCCAGGCCACCCTCGACAGTGGAAGCTGTGGCTTCAGCCACCAGCAGGCGCCCCGCCCCTCAGCACAGCTGTCCCCCTTTGTCCTGTGACAGGTCTGGGGGAACCTGATCCTGGGGATTAGCGGCATGGATAAAGACAATACTGCCCACAGCAGGGCTATTTTGGGGAGATGTCACAGACGTGGGACAGAGGACATTTCCTAAGAAGGTCTGGGGGCTCTTCCGGGACAGTCAGTCACCTCGGCCCTTTCCAACCTCTCCCGCTCTCCCCGGGCTGCTTCTCCTCCCAGGGTTCCCCTTTTCACCTTCACCCATCCATGCCTGCTGAGCCCTATGGAGAGCGGCCTCTGTCCACGGGCCTCACCCCGAACCTGAATGCTTAGACTCCAATCCCTGTGACCCCCAGCCCACGGCGCCCAGGCTGAGAGCCCCAATTCCAGTAACCAGACTGTGACCAACTGATTCTGTCCCATCTCAGATTCTCAGCCCCAGTCCACGACCGTCCGGCAAGAGCCGGGAAATCCTCAGGCCTCAGGTCCCAGACCTCCCAAACTGGAAACCTCGTTAGGAACCCCAAAGTTCGGACCCATCCCTAAAACCCCATTTCTGAGCTCCCATCCCTGAGTCTGAGCCCCAAATCCTAACATGCAGACTGTGTGACTCCAAGCCCCGATTTCTGGGGCGGCCCAGCCTCTGAGACTTCTGCAGTCCTAAAGAGGTCCCCTAGATCCAGTAACCCACAAACCCACGGGGCCCCTGCTGCTGTTACCTAAGGCTGAGTCTGCAGAGCTGGAGGTGAAGGCTGCCTGGCTTGGGTACCGTGGCTTCCTGGGCTTTATAGGGGACTCAGCCCCGCCCTGGGGAGGGGATGCGGGAGAGGAGGGAATGCCTGGGCCCAGCTCCAAGCCCCCTCCCCACCCCACCAGTGTCAGCCCAGCCCAGGCAGGGGTAGGCGCACAGGCGGCCCATAGCACACAGCTTCTGAGCCCGAGCCCTGGCTGGGAATGCAGTAGGTCCTGGACAACGTTTAGTGACAGAAGGGGCGCCAGGGGTGCTTCCTGCTTCCACCCCTCTGTCCCCTCTTTCTGTCCCTCTGGCCACCATCTCTCCTTTCCCAAACCCACTTTCCGAGCTCCCTGCCAGTCTCCGAGGTGGCCACCTGCAGATCTCCCTGCAGATCGAGTCTTTCTCTACCTCTGTCCCCCTCCCCACCCCATCCCTTTGTCTGCCCCCAGATTCCACCCTGGTGACAACAGGCGCTAAAGCCGGGCAGCAGGTGCGGCAGGGTGGGGAGGGAGGCTCCCAACCCCCACCTCCATCTGACACTGCTCGTTTGGTATCCTCCTCCTCCTCCAGCCGGGCCTCCACCTTGGAGGACTCCCTGGGTTTTGCCTGCATATCTGGTGTCCAGGCACCTGCCTCCTTTGTACCTGTGTGCTGGGGGTCCCTATCTGGGGCCCATCTCTGTCACTGTTCCTGCCTCTGTGTCTGTCTCCTTAGCTCTTCTACTTTTTGTTTGTTTTTGAGAGGTCTGGCTATGTATTCCAGGCTGACCTTGAACTCTCAGTGATCCTCCTACCTCAGCCTCCTGCAGGGGATTACAGGTGTGAGTCACCTCACTGGGCTGCCTGGCCCTTCTGGAGGGTCTCTCCCTGCTGGGGGTCTCCTTCATCTGTGTGCCTCTCTGGATAATACATTTCTGTATTTCCACTGTCTGCCCGTCTCCCTGCACATCAGTCGTTTTCTTTCCTCTCTCTACGGCCTCTGCCTCAGTTTCCCCATCTCTGCCTCCCCCTCTTTCAACCTAGTATGTAGGCACCATCTGCAGATGACCGGGGACAGCCCAAGCCCTGCGTCCCAGACTTCTTCCCCAGGCCTCGGTCCCAGGGACACACACGATGCTTCCTGCATGGAGAGCTTTTATTTCTCAGGGCTTTGGTTTCCCCGAGGGCAGGGGCAGCTCAGCCCTCAAACTTCTTCTTCCGGCCCTCCATGCCGCTCAGGGCATCGATGTTCTTGCGCCAGTCGCCCACCTCCCGGTTCTCCTGGGGAGTGAGAGCAGAGATCAGGGCTCTGGGCCGGATCCCTTGTGCCCCTCCAGCTTGCCGAAGGGCAGCTCTGGGCATTTGCCCAACAATGTAGTACTTGTGTCCTCAGACAGTCTGTGGTAATGCGGCACCTTTGAAACCACTTTTTGCTCCCCCTGAAGTAGTGAGGTTGGATAAATGAAACACAGGTAACCAGGTGTGGTGGCACATGCCTACAGTCCCAGCTCTGGGAGGCTGAGGCAGGAGGGTGGCAAGTTTGAGGCCAGCCTGGGCAACTTAGAGAAGACCCTGACTCAGAATAAAATAAAATGGGCCATCTGCATTGCAAGCACAAGATCCTGAGTTTGATCCCCGGTACCAAAAATAAATAAAATAAAATGGGGCTGGGGATGTAGCTCACTGTGAAGTCCCCAAATTCAATCCCCTGTACTTCAAGAAAAAAATATCCCAGCTTTTTACAGTGTTCACTTCCAGGCCACCCTGGAGTGATGTTCAAAGTCTCCAAACCTGCAATCACCTCTGTTCCAGAAAAGCGGAGCCTTGCAGACCACCCCGTGGTGAGGTCACCCTCCCCAGGCCAGGGCAGTCACCCCACTCCTGTGAGCAGAATGGCCTCTTGAGCTCCGGGATTCTTCCCAAAGTACGGAGATGAAAACTGGGAAACCACTGCAGGGCCCCCCAGCACCCGCCGGGTGGCCAGTGTGACCTGCACCAGAGCGGACCCTTGCAGTGACTGTGTCCTTTCCCTGTCCTCCCTCCCTCCCCAACAGCGCCGATAAATCTGCCTGTGTCTCACACTGCTTCGTCTTGAGATTCTTTTGCCTTTTGCCATGATGATGGGAGTCCAGAACACCTCCTTGAGGGACCCCTACACCTAGGCCGCAGTCCCTGCCTTCACTGCCTTCTCAAACTCCAGGAAAGGCAAGCTCTGCAGGCAGTCAACACACGCAGAGAACCAAAGCAGCCCCCCAGCCCCGGCAACAGGATCCCCGGGACAAGACCTGCAACCAGACCACAGCCTGCCACTGAGCTACCTCCTCCACCTCCTCACTTTTGTCCTCCCCTGTATAATCCTGGAGTGGCTGTCGCATAGGAAAGACAGTCTCCCTCTGTCTTTCCAGTATGGCCATGCTGAAAGACACCCCTTTCTTGGCTCTGGCCCTCTGTTTGCTTCTGTCTGCTAACTGGACCCTTGAGGGGGTGGGTGGCTGCATTTGGTCACTGGGACCCCTGGACTCAGGCCTCTGGCCTAGGATTCCCATAACATCCCGACAATCCTCCCCATGCATTATTCCTGATTCCTTCATGAGCCTCATGTTTCCTACAAGAACTTCTCTCAGGTACTTCTGTCTCCCTTATACATTTCCTGCCTGCTTTGATATTCCTCCTTCCCTGGTACTCTTCCTCTCCCACTTCTTGTATCCCCCACATACGTCCTGTCTCCTTCACACAACTCCTCTTTCCCTCCCGTATGCTGCTCTCCCACATGAACTTGGTGTCTCTCACAGCTCCTGTCTCCCGTCTCCCCCCACACTTCCTGTCTCCCTCACACTCTTTGTCGTATACTTCTATATTTCCCTTCTTGCCTCCGTCATGTCCTTCTTTTCTCCACCATGGACTTCCTACAGCCCTCAGGTTCCTCCAGGTTCCTCTTCCTGCTTTCTCTAAGGAACTGTCTTTCCTGATCTGCGTGTGTGTGTGTGAGTGTGTGTGTGTGTGTGTGTCTGTGTTTATTTTTTGTTTTTTGAGACAGGGTCTCGCTATATAGTTCAGGCTGGCCTTGAACTTGCAGCCATCCTCCTGCCTCAGCCTCCCAAGTGCGGGGATTACTGGTGTGCGGATTCTCCAGTCCTTTTAAATTAAGGTGCTGGGGACTAAACCCAGGGCCTCACACAGGCTCGATAACACTGCTCCTCGAGCTGTATCCCCAGCCCTGTATCCCCTCCCTTCCTGTCTCTCCCTTGCGTCTCCTATTTCCTCTAATTCTCACTCAGGACCCTCCCAGCCCCCTCCCCAAGCACAATCGCCTCAGGCCAGACCTAGGCTCAGTGTCCCCTCGGCCTTCCCCTGAGCACCCTTTCCTGGCCCTGCCTCATACTCACCTTCTCAGTGTCTTCCTTCTTCACCTGCTTGAGGTGGGCCCGCAGGTCCAAGGATTCCTTGGCCCGGGTTCCCAGCAGGGCCTGCATCATGGCATCTGCAGAGATCCGCACTCTCCGCAGGGTGGGCCGCTTAAACTTGCCACGGAGGTCGAAGATCTTCTGGGTCAGGTCTGCGATCTGGGGGCAGCCACGTGGGCAGGGGATGCTGCGCCTCCTCCTCCACCAGCCCCCGGCCCCCGGCCCCTGGCCCTCCCAGCTCAGCCTGCAGAGAGGCCACCAGGCCTGTAGACCCGAGGAGCCCGGCCCCACCCCATACCCTCCCCCCTCGTTCTTCAGCAACATGTGAGTTACAACTCCTGTCCCGGCTGGACTCCGATCTGGCACCATGCCCACAACACGCCTGTGATGTGCTTCCCACCCTGGCCTTGCGCCTGCTCTTCTCTCTGTGGGAAACCACGTTCCTGATTCTGGTCTAATGCATCCTTCTGCCCCACTCCTCGGACAGCTGCCTGGAAACCAAGCCTGCATCTCACACCACTGCGAAGGTCCAGTGCCCAGGGCTCCCACCTCCGTGACGTTCTTGGTGACTTTGGCCTCTACGTCATATCTCTCTTCATCCACCTTGTCCACCCGGGTGTGGAGCTGTCGGCACAAGTCCTGGTAGAGAAGCCGATGTGTGTTGTCAGGGAAGGGCTGGAGCCCGCTCCCTGGGTCTGAGGGAGGAGGCCAGGCTTGGGCCCCGGGTCGGAGGGAGGAGGCTGAGGCCCTAAGATCTCGTCCTGAACGTGTAGAAGGGAGCCTGGACTCCAGAGAACAGCACACAAGGGTGGGCAGAAGCCTGGAGTCCTGAACTCGGGCGGATCTAGGCGTGGAGGGCCTGACCTTGGGTCTGGGTTGTGGGTGGCTGCCGTGGGTCCTCTGCACCCACGGACAAGTGCTGCTGCGTTGGACCCTAGGTCCCGGGCAGAGGGGGACAAGCCCTGCTTCCGAGCCCGAGAGAGGCAGGGACAGCCTGGGCGCCGACCCGGGCTGGGCGGTACCTGCAGCTCCGCGAAGCCCAGCCCAGCCAGCTCCAGGGG